ACAACCGGCCCGAGATGTTGGGACGCAGAGAGAGCCCCCAGGCGGCCTCGGCACCGTTTTCCCTGCAGATCGCTGGATCCGCTGGATCCGCTGGATCCGGTGACGAATCCCAAACCGGCGCCCTAGCTTGAGACATCCTCACAAAACCGGCCCCGGGGGAGGTGCCCAGAGGAGCCCAGAGCGGCCTCCGGCACCGTTTCCGGACAGTTCCGGTGGATCCGCTGGATCCGCTGGATCCGGTGACGAATCCCAAACCGGCGCCCTCGCTTGAGACATCCTCACAAAACCGGCCCCGGGGGAGGTGCCCAGAGGAGCCCAGAGCGGCCTCCGGCACCGTTTCCGGACAGATCCGCTGGATCCGCTGGATCCGCTGGATCTGGTGACGAATCCCAAACCGGCGCCCTCGCTTGAGACATCCTCACAAAACCGGCCCCGGGGGAGGTGCCCAGAGGAGCCCAGAGCGGCCTCCGGCTCCGTTTCCGGACAGATCCGGTGGATCCGGTGGATCCGGTGGATCCGCCGACGAATCCCAAACCGGCGCCCTCGCTTGAGACATCCTCACAAAACCGGCCCCGGGGGAGGTGCCCAGAGGAGCCCAGAGCGGCCTCTGGCACCGTTTCCGGACAGATCCGGTGGATCCGGTGGATCCGGTGGATCCGCCGACGAATCCCAAACCGGCGCCCTCGCTTGAGACATCCTTACAAAACCGGCCCCGGGGGAGGTGCCCAGAGGAGCCCAGAGCGGCCTCCGGCACCGTTTCCGGGCAGATCCGCTGGATCCGCTGGATCCGCTGGATCCGGTGACGAATCCCAAACCGGCGCCCTCGCTTGAGACATCCTCACAAAACCGGCCCCGGGGGAGGTGCCCAGAGGAGCCCAGAGCGGCCTCCGGCACCGTTTCCGGACAGATCCGCTGGATCCGCTGGATCCGCTGGTTCCGGTGACGAATCCCAAACCGGCGCCCTCGCTTGAGACATCCTCACAAAACCGGCCCCGGGGGAGGTGCCCAGAGGAGCCCAGAGCGGCCTCCGGCACTGTTTCCGGACAGATCCGGTGGATCCGCTGGATCCGGTGACGAATCCCAAACCGGCGCCCTCGCTTGAGACATCCTCACAAAACCGGCCCCGGGGGAGGTGCCCAGAGGAGCCCAGAGCGGCATCCGGCACCGTTTCCGGACAGATCCTGACAGATCCGGTGGATCCGCGCCCGGGGGAGGTGCCCAGAGGAGGAATGAGGAGGAGGAGGAGGAGGAGGAGGAGGAGGAGGAGGAGGAGGAGGAGGAGGAGGAGGAGGAGGAGGAGGAGGTGGGGGGGGAGGAGGAGGAGGAGGAGGAGGAGGAGGAGGAGGAGGAGGAGGAGGAGGAGGAGGAGGAGGAGGAGAAGATGATGGAGCTGCGGGGTGGAGGAGGACAGACGGAGGCAAGAGAAGGATGGAGGAGGAGGAGGAGGAGGAGGAGGAGGAGGAGGAGGAGGAGGAGGAGGAGGAGGAGGAGGAGGAGGAACCTCATCACCCTCGCCAACAAGCGCACGCACCTTCTTCTATATACAGAAACTCCCGATCAACCGCAGAGCGGCCGGCTAGTTAAGAGGAGCCGCCCTGCAGACGTGAACATCTTGCATCTACTCGAGCACATGTTCGCGGTGCTAGGGCTAGGGCCCCCAATAGGGAGGAGCAGGAGGAGGAAGAGGGGGAGGAGGAGGAGGAGGAGGAGGAGGAGACTGACTGACTCTGACTCATCTGCGTCGATATCCATTCACTCCTCAAAAGGGCTACTCTAGGGGTACCGCAGAGCCTGGTGTTTGCACTCCAGGGGGCCTTAAATAGTGTGGGAGCGCTAGGCCTGACGCCGCTGCCAATGCGCGCGCAGCGCTAGCAGTGGCGTCTAGGCGCGGGGGCGCTTACTAAACTTGGTTGCGAGAGTTCTCTCTTCGCTGGATTCGCAGTCTGAGCTCCTCCAACCTATCCTCCCAGGGTCGACGACTGAGCGAGCGAAGGTAGGCGAGGGAGGGAGGCTCCGAGCCCGACCGAGGAGGAGGAGTCGATCCCTGGAGGCTGTTGGGGGGCTGCTGCCTGGGCTCTAGGCCTCTCTCTGAAAAAAATTGCTCCTGACCTGCTCTACTGTCCCTACCTACTCCTCCAGGTACATGTTCTCTTCTCCTCTGGCTCACTGCTTCCCTCTGATGCCGTATGCAAGCCCCCCAATCGGTGCCTTCCCTGGCATCTTCTGGAGGCCACTCGCTCGTAGGCATAGTCCAATCAGGCGATTCACCCTGACCAGTGTGAAGTTGCCCCCTGTGTCGAGCTCCTGTGGATGATGCTTGCCCTTCTGCGCCGCGATCTGCTGCTCCTCTGTGAGGTTCTTCGCCACGGGCCAGTGTCCCTCGAAATTGAATGAAAGACGTGATGTGGGTTGAACTCCTTGTTTGCTTTGGAGCTCGCTTGATCTGCATGTGACGCACCAGTCTTCGAGGTCTGACGGGCTGCCCGTCTCTCTGAATTCTTCGAGCCGTTTGACTGCTGCGAATATGCATTGAATTTCCTCGTTTTTGCCCTCTGTGGACGCGCTGGCGACTGTAGCGATCATGGCTCCCGCTGCGTGTAGGTGAGGTGACCCGAACTCGTGCCCTGCGCCCGCCTCCTTGACGAGCTTCTCGTACTTGGTGGTAGCTTCCTTGATGGCCCAAAAAACAGGGTGGCCCGTCGGGCCTTTGAAATGGTCGTCTGACGCTTCTCTCTCTCTCATGCGAGCTTCCAGTTGCAGTGGTAGCTTGGTGTCCTGGGTTCCTCCACTCTTGCCGCCGCCCTTGGCCTTCTTGGTCAGCTGTTCCTCTGGCTTGACGCTCTTCTCTACTGCCTCGACCGCCGATACCCACCGCGACATCAATGGTGATCGAAAGATTCTCAATAGAAGGCAAAACGTGATTGTGCGCTAAATGCTGATCTAAAAGGTCAGGAGTCTGAGCAATAAAAAGGCACAACGGGCATTGCGTGACGGTGTGGGCTTTCCTCTGCGGAGCTCTCACCGAAAAATCTGCAACACATCTCTGATGCTTCACTGACGCTGCAAGGTGCCACTGAGCGGTGGCACGATCCGAGAAGTTACTTTGGCAGAGAATGCAATAGTTCGACAGCGTGGCGATATGAGGGATCCTGTCCGTGGCACAAGTCTGCCTCAGGATCTTTTCTGTGTCCTCTCGCCCTCTCGCGCAAATTCTCACACAATGCGTGACCATGCTCTTCTGATCAGGAAACACTTCCTCGCAAACTGGGCATTGGACGGGCAATTGAGGTGTATCGCCCTGCTCTTCCTGAAGAGGGGGGGTCGCAGTACCCCCGATCCCGCCCAGGCACACAGGGGGGGGAACCGTCCTTGCAAGTTCGATAGACCTCAATTCAGCAACATCAATTGCTCTGAAAATCTCTCTTCCCTCTCCTAGGAACAAACCTAAAAAGTTTCCCTCTAGCTCCTCTAGGAGCTCTGGGCCCCTGGTGTAGGAGGAGGAGGAGGAGGAGGAGGAGGAGGAGGAGGAGGAGGAGGATAGCCTTCTCGACCTTCTCCCCCTCCTTCTCTTCCTCCTAGACGCTCGGCCTCCCTTGTCCTCACACGCGTCCTCCTCCTGCTCATGCTCCTGCTCCTGCTCCTGCTTCTGCTCCTGCCTCTCCTCCTGCTCCTCCCTCCTCCTCTCCTCCTCCCTCCTCCCTCCCTCCTCTCCTCCTCCTCCTCCTCCTCCTCCTCCTCCTCCTCCTCCTCCTCCTCCTCCTCCTCCCTCGCAGGGGTGGACCTGGTGCCCTCGGGCGGAGAGCGATCGAGGACCGAGGATCGAGGCTTTCGCGCTTGTCCCAGAAATTTCTCGGCCTCCGGGGCGCTTCTCGTAGCCTCGGCTGGATTCCCCCCCCCCTCCGAAGTTCTGGTCAACACGCACCCCTTCAGAGGTCAGGTTGGTGATCCAGGGGAGGCGTATGACGTGTTGTGCGTTTGGCCAATCACATCTTGCAGAGGAGAAGAGGGCAATGACAAGGAGAGACTTTGGTACACATATGGCCGACCTCGAGGCCGGGAGGGACACGCGCTAACGACGAATCATGACCACTCCGCGCTGGGCACTGAAGCCCCCGATGCAGCGCATGCCCTGCAACGCTGGTGTGGCGTGTGCCCCCCAGGATGACGGAGGGCTGCTGCTCTGGTCGAGGGCCAAGCCACGCCCTACGACGCAAGGCCCCCCTTGGACACGGGTGCGCCCACAACGCCGTGAACCCGCTGGGGAGCAGGGTCCGGTGCGCAGTCATCGTGCTCCCGCAGCGGGCTCTGAACAAGGGACGGCGGGGGTGTTCTGACCACGGCGAGCCACAATCACGAGTACACTCCCCGACCTGGATCCACGAAGCGGCCGTGGAGCCAGACCCACACTTGAGCCCAAAGCCACAAGGCCACAAGCACATAAACTTTTGGCGCTCCGCGCAGGTTTCTTGGAACTGCGCTGGACCCCCCTCCCCAGCGCGCGGAGCGCGCCAGGGGCGGCGTCGGAGGCGCCGCCAGGGGGGCCCCAGCGCGGATCCGAGAATCCCGCGCGGAGCGTCACACGTTTATGTTTACGGCGTTCTTGCTTCCTCGAACGAGGCGGCCGTGAAACCAGACCCACGCCCGAGCCCCAAGACGTCCTTGGCTCAACGTCCTGGCTGCGTGCCACGCCCTTAGGGGGCCACATGCGAAACCTACCCCTACCTCCCACGATCTCTGAGGGGGAGGGTGGGGTTCACTTCGCTCGGGAGCTCCCGAACGAGGTGAACCCCACCCTCCCCCTCAGAAATCGTGGGGGGTAGGGGTAGGGTTCGCATGTGGCCCCCTAGTCCTCTGCAGAGCCCCGGGGCGGCCGCCAGCGCGGGAGGCTCCTCCTCCTCTCTCTCTCTCTCTCGACGCGCGGCGTCGCTGCCCCGTGCAGCAGCTGCGTTCCGCGCCACTGCCGAGAGCTCGGGCGGGCGGGCGGCACGGGATGCTCCTCTCTGAGGGGGCCCAGGGGGCACGGGAGGCTCCTCTCTTTGAGAGGGCCCAGGGGCACACGAGTACATACACACACAGATCCCAGGATTCCCACGCTGCTCTTGTCTTTTCTCGGTTCTCGTCTTCCCCCCCCACCTCCCATGCTTCACCGTCTCTCTCCCCTGGGAATCGACGATCGCCTGCGTCCGTGTGTGGCTTCCCCTCCCGACTCCTGGCTCTTGGCGGCGAGGTGCTTCTGCCCGCTGCCCGCGCATCCTCTCTTCCGGCCAGTCTGACTGCTGCTCTGGTTGCGTCGGGCTTGTCCCTCTCCAGGAGGAATACTCAAGAATAGTCAAAGCATAGTCTGGGGACGATTGTTTGAAAAGCTTTGGGGGGTTATCTGGTTAGAATATATACAACTGTATGTGTGTATATATATATATGTATATATATATATACATAAACACATGTAATGTGTGTGTTAGTCATGGTTTTTCGTCCAAGATCCCCCTGTACGGGGACATGCGCGACCTCATGCTCTGGGGGGGGGCGGCCTGGTGCCCGGGGAGGCCGCGGCTCCGCTCCACGCAGTGCTGTCAACCACACCCGCTGCTCCGGCTCTCTGTGCACTTCCGCTTTGGCTTCGGGCTCCAGCTGCCGATGCTCCGTGCAGCGCCTCCAGGCCACCTCGCCCAGAGCCTGATTTCCCGCTCGCACTTCCGCTCTGGCTTCGGCTCCAGCTGCCGATGCACCGTGCAGCGCCTCCGGGCCACCTCACCCGAGCCGGATTGCCCCGCTCGCGCTTCCGCTTTGGCTTCGGGCTCCAGCTGCCGATGCACCGTGCAGCGCCTCCGGGCCATCTCACCCGAGTCGGACTTCCCGCTCGCACGGGTGCTCCCCTCCCCCCCGACGGCCGAAGAGAGGAGGAGGGGGAGGAGGAGGAGGAGGAGGAGGAGGAGGAGGAGGAGGAGGAGGAGGAGGAGGAGGAGGAGGACGAGGAGGAGGAGGAGGAGGGGGGGGAGGAGGGCCCCCTGTCCCGGTGCAACTTCGCCAGCGCGCACCCCGCCCTCGGCCGACCAGGCGCTGTGAGAGAGCGCCTGGCGCTGCGACGGAGAGGTGCTGCCCTGCCGTCGGAGGGAGGCGCCGGCCGCTGCGGGGTCTCCTCGGGCGAAAGGAGCCTCCGAGGACGCAGAGAACCTCGAGCCTCGAAAGGGACCCTCTCGGAGGCCCTCTCGAAAGAGTACGCAGAGACCCTCTCGGAGGCCCTCCGTTCTGGGAGGCGCCAGCCGCTGCTGGGTCTCCTCGGGCGAAAGCGGCCAGTGGCGCGCGGGTCGACACACCTTGGGCCCAGGTCCTGTCGAGGAGGCGGAAGGGAGAAGGGGAGGAGGGGAAGGGGGCAGGAGGAGCGGAGGAGGAGGGGGAGGGCAGTGGAACTGGGAGCGGGAGGGCAAGTGGGAGGTGATGCAGGAGGAGGGGAGGGGAAGGCGGAGGTCAGCCGCGGTGGTCCTAGCGCATCCGATCCAAGGAGATTCTGGTCGGCCAAGGAGGGAGGGAGGCATGGATCCACGGGATTCGACGATCGAGATTATGGGATCAATGTTTTTAGGCGTGCTGCTTGTGTTTTTGTTGAGGGGGAGGGCTCTGTCGCTTTTCGGGCATCCGTAGGCCTCCAGGGGACGAGGAGGACGAGGGATGGGATGGTGGATTGGGCCCAGAGTGGGGCAGTGTGCGAATCAAGAGCTCTCTGGTTGTGACTGCGCAGTGCGTTTCGCGGCCTGCCTCCAGTACGTGTCGAACGGCTTCTACACTGGGACTTGCGTCTAGACCATGAAAGACGCGCAATGAGCGCTCGTGACTCATGCTGGCGCCATCGATGCTGACCCGAGCAGGAGAAGACTGGCCCCGAGTGCAGAGGGGGGGGCTCGCCACCGACCGATCCATACCAACACGGCCGCAACATGGATGGCAGGAGTGACAGGCAAGCCGGGCGACTTGCCTGGGTTCTGGTGAGATTGGTGCCAGAGGCAAGGGCCGGGCTTTAGCGCCTGAGACCTGTAGAAGATGTAGGCGAGGGTCACGCTGATCAGCCTGTGGTCGTGCCGATACTCGAAGTGGTCGAAGATCTTCAGCTTCGTCACCAGCTCGTGGAAGTTGTAGGCCAGCAGTGCGCACTCGTTGGAGTAGGTGTACTTCACGAAGAACGCGTAGTTGCTCATGGGCGCTTCCTCGGGGGTGGCCGCGCGCTCGCAAGCTCCCCCCCACACACCACACACACACACACACACACACACACACACACACACACACACACACACACACACACACACACACACACACACACACACACACTTACACACTTACACACTTACACACTTACACACTTACACACTTACACACACACACACTTACACACTTACACACTTACACACACTTACACACACTTACACACACTTACACACACTTACACACACTTACACACACTTACACACTTACACACTTACACACTTACACACTTACACACTTACACACTTACACACTTACACACACACACTTACACACACACACACACACAAGGACAACGCCTCCTCCTCCTCCTCCTCCTCCTCCTCCTCCTCCTCCTCCTCGACGCGCGACCCCGACGACACAAGAACGCAACAGACACACAGGCGCACGGGAGACGAGGACGAGGGCGAGACGTCGGCACTCCACTCACAGATGGGACCCTCAGCCCTGAGTCCTGGGGACCTGGGGAGGGGAAGCCTTGGACTGTTCGAATGCTACCTGGAATTACCAGCCTGGAACATATCCCTATCCCTATGCTGGGCATCTCCTCGTCACGATGCCAATCTTAGGGACTCCCTTATTTTTTGAGGGCGAATCCCCAAGATTGTCATCGCCTTTTGGCGTGTCAATCTTAAGGATAGGGATACGTTCGAGGCTGGTAATGGAAGACCTGTCCTATCGTTACGGCCCCATCCCTCAGCGCCCCGTTTCCGGAGGGGAGAGAACAGGAGCAGCAGCGTCGGCACAGGCAGTGGCAGCAAGGGCATGGGGACTTGCAGGACCATGTGCAGGGGCGGACAGGAGCCGGAGACGGAGCGGGAGGGGGAAGGGGATCGGGAAGACGGGAGGAGGGAGGAGGGCACCGATTGGGGGAGTGCGAGAACGAAGAGCAGTAGGAGGAGAAGGAAATTGAGGGGGGAGAGCGAGGACGACGAGCAGGAGGATGAGGAGAAGGAGGAGGAGGAGGAGGAGGAGGAGGAGGAGGAGGAGGAGGAGGAGGAGGAGGACGACGAGGACGGAGGTCAGGATGACGAGGGGGAAGTGGAGGTGGGATTGCGGGAGGGGCTGGATGAGCAGCGGGGGGATCGAGGACGAGGAATAGAACCAGCCCATGCTTCCGATGTTTCGATGGCTTCAGCACAGGATCCCAGGACGACCCGACCCTCTCTCCAGGGCAAGATTTTCATCCCGAGCAACCTTTCGGCGGGCGAAGGGCTCCCGAGGTCGGAAAAAGCGGCAACAAAAACCCTCTGCCGCGCTCTGTGCCCACGAGGCGAGCATGTCTGGGAGTGGAAGAACCCACAGAGCAGCAGCCGCACAACCGGTGCTGACGCAAGCCCCAGCCCGGCAAGCGCATAGGGGCGCTGCCGCATCCCGCCGAGCAGGGCCCTCGGCGGTGGCAGCCGTGGCGGGAGCAGCGACGGCGGCGGCGGCTGCGGCTGCGGCGGAGGCAGCCGCGGCAGCCGCGGCAGCCGCGGCAGCGGCCGCCGCACGCAGCGGCGCCACGGCCGCAGCCACGGCGGCGGTGCCCGCGGGCGGCGGCGGCCGCGCGGCCCCAAAGACCCGCACTTGGCTCCTGGCCGGCGGCCTGCGCGCCGCCGACAGCCGCCGGCGCGCCAGGCTGCCGCGAGCCCTCCGCGCCGCCGGGCGGCGCCACGCGGCGGTCGGGGCCCGGCTCACCTGAGCGACGACATGCCTCGGACCTTACGCCGCGGCTGACGCGGGACGCCGGCGTGGAGGAACTGGGCGCTCACGCGCGACCTTTCGCGGGAAGCCTGCGCGGGCATGTCCGCGCAGCCCGCCCCGTCTGTTCTTCCGTCGCCCACCCGGCGGCGGCTCGGGCCTCGCGCGAGCCTCGACGTTCGCTCTTCGAACTTCGAGGCTCGACCTTCCAAATGTTCGAGGTGTTTGGCTGTTTTTGTCTCTGTCTCGTCAGCTCGGGGAGGGGGAGCGTCCCGCAGCCCGGTTGGGTCCGCCTCGGGATCCCGGTCAGGGCGCGCCCAGCGAGCCGTCCAGAGGCACAGATTGTTGTCACCCAGGGCCCCCTTTCGGAGGAGGAGGAGGAGGAGGAGGAGGAGGAGGAGGCGGGGGAGGAGGAGGAGGAGGAGGAGAAGGGGGAGGAGGAGGAGGAGGAGGAGGAGGAGGAGGAGGAGGAGGAGGAGGGAGGAGGAGGAGGAGAGGAGGAGGAAGAGGAGGAGGAGGAGGAGGAGGAGGAGGGCGAGAGGAGGAGGAGGGGAGGGGCAGAACGCCTATGTGGTCTCCGAGCGGGCCACGCACCTGCCCCCCTGCTTGAAGGGAGCCCGATCGGCTGCCACTCGGCGACAGAGTGAGCTCAGACGCCAGGCGGGATCAGAAAGGAGCCCTCTCCCTCCTCCTCCTCCTCCTCCTCCTCGGGCCTCTCCTGCGGAATAGACGTTTGAGGCTGAACTTCGGGAATGAATCTTCTTGCCAACTTCTCCCTATCTCAGATGCGATATGTATATGTATATATATAATCACAAATACACACGCTCGTGTGTTGCCAGCTGTTTCCCTTCCGCCCATCCCCGATGGAAAATGATGAGTTCTTTTTCCCTGGGGTCATCTTCCAGTTCTACCTGGCAAATCTTCCATGAAGGCTTGACGGGATCTTGCTCATTGATGTTGCAACCTTCTTCTGGAAACTATGCAAACTTTGATCGAATGGTTGACACCATCCCAGGGAACATGTTTGTCATCCGCGGGTCGCTTCCCCGAGATTCCCTCCTCGGCCCGTTTGGCAGCTGAGCCCGTCCGGGCGCCGAACGGGAGGTTCAACGGCTCCATTCCAGGAGGGCGGCGGGAAATCCGGCCCGCTCGACGGACCCCCCGGATGAAGACAGATTGGAAAAGACTGGAGGCCGAGGCCTGCGCAAGCGTGGAGAGCTACAACGGCACAGAAGGCTGACCAGATGTCGCCGCGCCGCTTGTTCTCGACGCGCCCGAGGGGGCGACGCCGACACCACGGCAAACCGACGGCAAACCTTGCGCCCCGCGCCCAAGTAGACGAAGCCCGCACCGCAGCAACCCCCACGGCAGTGTTTGCCCGAGGCGGCGTTTGCCCTGGTGGCCAAGGGCGCCCTCCCGACGACGGAAGACCGCACGTCGGAACAGACGGCGCGGTGACGTACACTCGGGGGTGGATTGGCTAGGGCTCCCAACTTCGCGCTTCGCGCTGCGCGAAGCGCGAAGCGCGAATAACTTCGCGCTCTCGCGCCGCCCTCCCAAAGGGAGAATAGGAGGACGAGGAGGAGGGGGAGAAGGAACGAGGACCGCGAAGCGCGAATAACTTCGCGCCCTCGAGGGAGCCCTTGATTGGAGAGGACTCGCGAGGGGGCACAAGACTCTTCCGAGGGCCACATTGCCGTATGAATGTCGAAGCCCGGGTCGCGGAACTCAGGACACAAGGCTACCCCTGTTCGGGCAGGGTCGACCTCCTGATCCACCTCGACCGTATCGAAAGCGTGAACACGGTCGACTTTTTCATATCGGGAGCGGCCAAGAGGGGGGTGTCCAAGAGGGGGGGGTGCAAATCATGACCGGCGGCATGTGCGCGGCCCAGCGGGGGGGCCAGGGACGTAAAGAAACAAGGAGAGGCGCCATGAAATCTGGGGAAATATCATGGCCCCCGCCATGATATCCACCCCCCCTAGTCATCACCCCCCTCTTTTCCGCCCCCGATCATACAACAAACCAGAGAAGCCACTGGAGGTCCGGGCTCCCGCTGGCCCTCCTCCGTCAGGGCTCGGCCCGAACGTCAGAGCTCCGAGGGACGCCGGACCGTGGCGGGAGAGGGGCGCCCCAAAGGCCCCGGGGACGTGCCAGCATCGGGAATTCCCAGAGCGTCTTGCTGCTCCCTCCTGCTCCTCCTGCTCCTCCTCTTCCTCCTCCTCCTCCTCCGCCTCCTCCTCCTCTTCCCTCTCCTCCTCATCCCTCCTCCTTCTCCTCCTCCTCCTCCTTCTCCTCCTCCCCCTCTTCCCTCTCCTCCTCATCCCTCCTCCTCCTCCTCGTCCTCCTCCTCCTCCGCCTGTTCCTCCTCCCTCCGCCATCCCTAACTGAATACCTCCTGCCGCTGCAGGTTCGCGCCGTGATGGTCCCTGCGTCGTCTCGGCGTCGGTCTCGAACAAACCGCGAGGAGATTGTTCAACCTTTTGCACGATCGCGGCATCCCGATCGCGCAGGCTCGTTCAAGATGTCGGCCGGCTCTGGGCCACGGACGTTCATCACTGAACGCCGGGCCGCGGCGTGAGGGGGCACCCAACGAGCCAGCATCGGAACTTCCAGGAGCGTCTTGCTGCTCCCTCCTGCCGCTGCAGGTTCGCGCCCTGACGACCTCGGCGTCTCGGCGTCGGTCTCTAACACCGCGCGGATTGTTCCAGCCTGCAGGATCGTGGCATCCCGATCGCACAGGATAGTTCCACGTCGGCCGACCCTGGGGCACGGGTGATGGGCTTGTTTCCCACAGCCACCACCATAATCTGGAAGGGGAGGGGGTCCTCCTCCTCCTCCTCCTCCTCCTCCTCCTCCTCCTCGTCCTCCTCCTCCTCGCCCTCCTCCTCCTTCCCCCCTCCAACTTATGGTGGTGGTGGTGGTGGAAAACAGGCCCATCAGCGGGCGTTCAACTCTGAACGCCCTCGTTGGCAGAGTCACCGCAGAGTCGACACGACACGAACCTGCCCTACTGCTGGCCACACTGGATCGATGATCCCCAGAACGTGTGTCAGCCCCGTGTGGTTGTCCATCGAGGCCCTTCGATACGACGCAGGCGATATAATGATCTACTGGTTGGGCTGTAGGGGGTAAACACACATTGGGCTAACACACGTCCTGAGGATCATCGACTGGAGAAGGAGAGCGCCCCCCCCCGCTCCCCCCGCGGTCCTCGGATGCAGTGGCCCCCCTGGAGCCCTCCAGAAGAGACGGGCCTCGGAGGCTCCTGGAGCCCTCCCCACCCTGCCCCTCCGAAATGATAGGTCGAGGGCGTCGTCCCCCTCCTCCTCCTCCTCCTCCTCCTCCTCCTCCTCCTCCTCCTCCTCCTCCTCCTCCTTGTTGTGATTTCCTCAGCACGGCCCACGGAAGTCCCGACGCTGTCCGCAAGGCGGACTCTTCGTCAGGAGCTGTCCCAGGGCGACCCTGGGGGCGCGGCGGGCGCCCTCAGAGGCCGACAAGACAAGACGTTCGACGTCGCGAATTCGACAAGACGTTCGATGTCGCGAATTCGACAAGACGTTCGATGTCTGGCCTCACAAGAGATGGTCCGCGTAGTGTGGATCGGAGGGGCCGCGCCGCATCACCGATGCATCGGCGACGTCGGCGACGCATCAGCGCCGTCGGCGTGAAAGCATCGGGCTTCACATCGAGTCGCATCACCCATGCATCAGCGATGCGGCGAGATCCTCCGACCCCATCTACGGTCTGGATGCTTTGTTTTGTTTGTTTTGTTGTTTGCTATATTTTTATGTGCTGTTTTCCCATCTACGGTCTGGAACTCTTGCTTGGCGTGTCGCGGCGGCCACACCGGCGACAAGCTACGCTATGCCCTGTGAGCTGGTGGCCTGGTGGCCTGCCGCTTCGCTCCGCCCCGCGGGGCGGAAGGCGGGGAATGGCTCGGGACTCTGGCGCCTGCGGACCGGGGCGTGACCAGCGTGTTGCGACGAAGCGTGGTGGGCCAGAGCCAGCGGCGCCCAACCCCGAGCAAGCGCTCCTGACCGTACTCGAACCTATCTCACGAGCGGCGAACATATCCATACCTACACCCTCGCGGTCTGGATTCCAAGGAGCGATCACGTGGATAAACGGTCGAATGGATACGTTCCGCACAGAACATCCGCGAACGAACACACCCCATATCCATGGGGTCGCGGCCAAGGAGCTGGGCCCGCGATGCCGTTGACATTGATATGCGATACGGATGTGTTCCACGCCCGCGCCATCTGTCAAGACATCCGACGAGCTGATTGTTCTAATCCGCGGCCCCAAGGAGGTCCCGACCGCATCCCCAGGGGCAATTTTCCGCCCTGGGGCCATTTTTGCTGACCCTGGAGATCCACAACGGGCTCCAGACGCCGATATCGAGGGAAAACGCCTGGACCGAAGCAAGCATGTCTTCGGAGATCCGCAAAGTCGGACCCCCTCGGGGACTTCATGGGCCCTGGAAACGCCGGGGCCGTTTTTTTTACTTGTTCCATTTTGCAGATTTTTCTGCCGGTTCCGACGCCGTTTTTTGACCGGTTCCGGCTCCGGTTCCAATCCTGGAGCCGTTTTTGTTGCCGTTTCCGGTCGCTGTTTTTTTGCCGTTTCCATGTTCAAAGGACATTGGTTTGGAAACGGTGAAAAAAACGGCCCTGCCGTTTCCGGGGCCCACAAAGCTCGGGGAGGACCGGAGATGCCCCCCCAGAGGGGGAATGTCAGGGTGGGGCCTGCAGGATCGAGCACGGCGCATCCGCACGAAGCACGGCTGATTATAACCTTCGTTTCCCGAGCGCTGTCTCGTGGCCCATTTCACAACCAGCCTCGAACGTATCCCTATCCCTAGGATTAACATGCCCAGAGTCGACGACAATCTTAGGGACAGAAACGGAGGGACTCCCGAAGATCGGCATCGAGATGAGGCGATGACAATCATAGGGATAGGGAAATGTTCCAGGCAGGTGAATTCCACTG